GTTCCCTTAGATAGATAGTTGGCTTCAGCTGGTGTTAAACCCCCTGCAGTGGCTGAGCGGGTAGGCTGCCGCAGTGTTAGTGGCAAAGGGACAGTTAGAGAAGGGAGATTCACACTCAACTTGTCCCAGAAAGCAGAAGCCTACGGTTCTAGTGGATCCAGAGCCAGAAGACAACTTGCCTCAGGAAACAGCTCTCTCCCCCAGCTCCTCCGGCCCATGGAGAAGAGAGGTCTGAGCTAACAGCACCAGAGTGACTGCCCAGCCCTCCCAGAAACCCTAGGTTACCCTGGGTAGAGGAGAGAGGCAAGGCACCTCTGGAGGAAACACCTCACTTGGTGGCCCATCTGTGGCCCAGAGGGGTGCAGATGCCTTTAAGAGAGCAACGGTATACTGGGGTGGTTGAGGATGTTTGTGTACCAACCTTTCACCACCACTGATTTGCTTAATTGGAAAAGCAGCACCCCCTCATATACAGAAAAGCCACAGGCTGTAATTAATTTGCTACAAACTATTATTCAGACACATAACCCCACTTGGCCTGATTACCACCAGTTACTCATTTACTTCTTTAATACGGATGAAAGACGGAGAGGGCTTCAGGCAGCAACTAAGTGGCTGGAGGAACACTTAGCTGTGTTTTTATTTCGTAAAAATACAAAATTTAGCCAGGTGTGGTGGCATGCACCTGTAATCCTAGCTACTTGAGAGGCTGAGGCAGGAGAATTGCTCGAACCTGGGAGGCAGACGTTGTGGTGAGCTGAGATCATACCATTGCATTCCAGCCTGGGCAACAAGAGCAAAACTCCATCTCAAAAACAAAAAACAGCAACAACAAAAAAAAACCCAAATGCCAGGCTAACCAAGTACCAGGGCTTGTTGTGGGAAAACCTGAGCATAACCATAGAAGTTTGTAATACAGTACCCTAAACCCGGCCACCCTACTCCCTGTGTCTGAGGATCTGGTGACGCACGACTGTATGAAGGTGCTGTACTCGGTCTACTCCAGTTGGCCAGACCTGCGGGAGCTGTATGTGGATGGGGGCAGTTTTGTTAGACCCCAAGGAGAATGGGGTGCTGGATATGCGGTGGCAACTCTAGACACGACTGTAGCGGCTAAGCCACTGCCTCGAGGTACCTCTGCTCAACGTGCAGAGTTAGGAGCCCTAATTTGTGCCCTAGAACTGAGCGAAAGAAAAATTGTTAACATCTTTACTGACTCTCAGTATGCATTCCTCACTGTCCAAGTGCACGGAGTGTTGTACAAGAAAAAGGGCCTACTTAACTCTAGGGGTAAATAAGATACCAGCAGGATTTTTTTTTTCCCTGACACTTTGTCTTTATTTTTTATGGTACTTTGGGCATCCTGCAGGATGTTGCATAGGTACATGCATGCCATGGTGGTTTGCTGTCTCCATCCCCCCTCCAGTCACCTACATCAGGCATTTCTCCCTGAGTTATCCCTTCCCATCCTCCCCACCCTCCACTGTCCCCCCTCCCCTCCCCTCCACCACCCCACCTACGCCAGTGAGTGTTGTTCCCTTCCCACCAACAGGCAATTTTGCAGCTGTTGGAGGCAGTGTGGAAGCCCCAGAAGGTGGTGGTCGTATATTGCCCGGGATACCAGCAAACTTCCGCCACAGTAGCACAGGGAAATGCCCGTGTGGATGCAGAGGCCCCGAAAGCAGCATCCTTTCCCTGCTCAGCGTCAGTTACAGCTCCAGGCTCCTGACCTGGTGCCAGTCTACTCTGAGGAGGAGAAAAGCTCCTTCCTCACTTTGGCGTCTGAGGGGCTCTGTCAGCAGCTCGTCTCGCAACACCTGGACTTGAATTCCCCAGTGTAGAAGGCAATTCTTCACAGTAGTCCTACTATGTGCCAGGATTTATTTTCACCCGTGCTAATGTTTAATTACTTCATTGTGTAGCTGAAGCAAGTTATGGCCCTTCTCTGTTTTTTTCTTTTTCCCCTCCCTCCCCGGACCTAGCTGGGCACCTACCCTGTTGCCTCCCATCTACTCCAGGGGACCCTGGCCTTGCCCTTGGCTTGTCTGTGGGGTAGATCAGGTGGATCCATCCACCCCAGTAGAGAAGGAGGAGAATCTTCGCACCTCAGCTTGCTGGCAGCTCCAGGACCTGAAGCTGGATCAGGCAGGGCTACGCGGTTATGCAGGTAGCCCTTAGTGGCGGAAGGAAAATTTGAGCCTCTCTCCAATATTCTGTCAATTACAGGAGGAATCCCTATCCTGATTTTCTCATTCAGCAGCTCCATCCTTCAAACTTACTCTCATCTTGGAGCTGGGCTTGGTGGATCACATCTGTAATCTCAGCACTTTGGGAGGCCAAGGTGGGTGGATCATAAGGTCAGGAGTTCAAGACCAGCTTGGTAAACATGGTGAAACTCTGTCTGTACTAAAATTACAAAAATTAGCCAGGCATGATGGCAGGTGCCTGTAATCCCAGCTTCTTGGGAGGCTGAGGCAGGAAAATCGCTTGAACCTGGGAGGCAGGGGTTGCAGTGAGCTGAGATTGTACCACTGTACTCCAGCCTGGGCGACAGAGTGAGACTCTGTCTCAAAAACAAACACATACCAGAAAACCCCGCTCACACTCATCTTAGTGCCTGAGGGCTATGAACACCCAATAGGGGATTTCAGGACAGAATCTGGACAAGGTGTGTCCCCTTGAAGGCCAACGTCTCATTTTCCAGATAGGAAGACAGTCCAGGAGACACAGCACTGTCCACAGTCAGAGCAAGGACAGGGCAGAATGAAGACTTCACCCAGACTCCCTTGGCTCTGCCCTCCCAAAGGGAAGACTTTGTTCCTTTTAATCTAGTTTCCTAATCCTAATTGCTGTACATGCAAATAAATCTGCTTTGCATTAACAAAACAAAACAAAAGAAAAACTATGATACTGAGCTGGTTCCTCTTTGTACTCAGCTTTGGCCAGCTGTCCAGGCAGGGAGGAGGCAGCCCCTCTCACTCTTGTCCCCATGCCTCCCATCCCACCTTCTTTTTTTTTTTTTTTTTTTTTTTTTGGAGAGTCTCACTCTGTCACCCAGGCTGGAGTGCAGTGGCAGCATCTTGCAACTTCTGCCTCTTGGGTTCAAGCAATTCTCCTACCTCAGCCTCCTGAGTAGCTGGGACTACAGGCGCATGCCACCACGCCCAGCTAATTTTTTGTACCTTTAGTAGAGATGGGGTTTCACTGTGTTGCCCAGGCTGGTCTCGAACGCCTGAGTTCAGGCAATACCCCTGCCTTGGCCTCCTAAAGTGCTGGGATTACAGGCATGAGCCACCACGCCCAGGCCCCACTTTCTACTCTGAGTAGGTCTTCCCATTGTTGTGATCCCAAAATCAGCTACTCAGGAGTCTTGATCAGTTCCACTTGCTGCTGAAGACTTTGTTCCTTTTTATCTAGTTTCCTAATCCTCATTGCTGTGCATGCTAATAAATCTGCTTTGCATTAACAAAACAAAACAAACTGCTGGAGGTAGGGAGCAGCCTCCTGGCTTACTCTTCCGGTTCTGCTCTTTATCCTCAGAATCTGACCTGGGTAAGCCTCAGCGAGGCCTAGATTCTCTGATCCTGCTCCTAGCAGTCATGTGTCAACCCAGCCTTGGGCTGACTGGACGTAGGACTTGAACTTCTGCCGGGTTCTGCAATCAGAGGCTGTGGGGAACACTCCCATGTGAGACCCCTAAAAGGCGTGAGTCTCACTATACGGTGAGTTTGATCCCAAACACAGTTTCCTACTGGAGGCAGTCGAGCTATCCGGAAATATAGGAACTGAAAGTTGAATGATCAGTTTCTAATATCAACCACAATATCGTTTTGGGCCTAAAATTATGCCTTGCTGCTAGACGGAGTGACCCCCTGCCGGCAACCAGTTCCTGCTTTTAACCTTTTTATGACTTTAAGAATAAGTTTTAACCTTTACTTGCCGGACTGCCTTGTACCCTAGATAATGGTTTAACTGTCGATATTTGCAAAGAAAAATGCCACCATAAGGGATGGCTTTGATTCCTGACTCAGAGATTCCTGAATGGGGAAGTTGAGTTAAGTTGAGTCAGGAGTAGACAAAGGAGAATCTGATTAAAAGATATTCTGATGAGCAAAACCAAAAAACCTTTTCACATTTCAGTTCTAAAACAAGGTCAAACCAGAGATACCTGCAGCCAGGAGGAATGATGTTTGGATATAAACAAGCTTTGTGAATGATGTTTGGAAACAAACTTTGTGATTGTAGAAAATTTTGTTACTTTTTACAACCATTGATCGCATATCTGACTTCTCTATTGTATAGGCCATGTGAGGCATACATTTGCATTCCTCTTACTATGACGTAAACCAAAGCCAAGAAAGTGTATTTATTCCTGGCCTTTGAAAAATAAAATTTGTTTAGGCACAGCCTATCAGCCCTCCGGACGCCTCGCTTTCTCTCTCTCTGTCTTTATTAATTTTCCAGGCACACTCCCTCTTCCAGGTATTGGGACCCTCTTGCAGGTCGAGAGACCCCCGGGCAGACGTGCCTACCCATCCCGGACGGTTCACGACAAGAGGCCAGAGACTTCCTTTCTCGAAATCTCCTAATTCTGCACCAAGAAATGGTGCATGACGTCCTCCCAGCCCACATGTGGGAGATGCTTGGGTGCAAGGCTTGGCCTGCCTGGTCCTCCTTGCCTGACATCTGAATTCCAAACTTCATGCTTTACGTGGCCTTGGAAGGGGAAGGGTAGTTGTAAACTTGGGGGCCCAGAGTCACCTTGGTCCCAGGTTCAAGCAGGAGGTACTGAACCCTGAAGATCCAGGTCGCACTTTGAACTATGACACTGAGTTGGTTCCTCGCTGCACCCAGCTGGTGCTGCCTGCAGGTTTTGGCTGGCTGCCCAGGCAGGGAGGAGGCAGCCAGGCCTCTGGTCTCTGGGGATTGGCTGCCCCTGCTTGCCCAGCCCAGCCTTCTCTAGGTCAGGGGCCAGGGACAAAGAAGTCCCAGGAGGAGAGAAGAGGAAGTCGTACAGGACAAGCTGCTCCTGACAGAAGGTGCTAGGCGAGAAGTGTTGGGCTGGAGTGTCCTGGCTTGGGAGAGGGAGGGGCTCTGTCCAAGGCTGGGGTGGCTCCAGAGAGCTGGCCCTGGTGGAGTTGATGGTTTCCTGGTAGCTGAAACCAAGCCCCTGGCAACCTCCAGTGATTCAGGCTGGGCCTTCCGGGACTCTAATTAGCCTCCCTCTCTTCTTTTTCTCTCTCCTCTTTTTTTTATTGAAACAGAATAGCTCTGCCACCCAGGCTGGAGTGCAGTGGCACGATCTTGGCTCACTGCAAACTCTGCCTCCTGGGTTCAAGCAATTCTCCTGCCTCAGCCTCCTGGTAGCTGGGATTACAGGTGCCTGCCACCACGCCAGCTAATTTTTTTTTTTTTTTTTTTCATAGAGACGGGATTTCACCATGTTGTTCAGGCTTGTCTCGAACTCCTGACCTTGTGATCCACCCACCTCGGCCTCCCAGAGTGCTGGGATTACAAGTGTGAGCCACTGCACCTGGAGTCCTCTCTCCTCTTAACTCTCCTCCCGGCTGTCCTGGGTCTCCCTCTCTGCGTCCAGCCCTTGTTTTCTCATCTCTAAGCTCTCCGTCTCCAGCACCTCCCATCCCTGCCCCTGTCCCATGTCCCCAAAACTCCCGGGGCTCTTTGCTGGGCCTCAGGACCTCACCTTCCATCCCGTCTGCCCTGCAGGATGTTACAGCTGAGCCTGTCCTGGCTGGGCCTCAGGCCAGTGGCAGAGTCCCCATGGCTGCTCCTGCTGCTGGCTGGGGCCTCCTGGCTCCTGGCCCGAGTCCTGGCCTGGACCTATGCCTTCTACAGCAACTGCCGCCGCCTCCGGTGTTTCCCGCAGCCTCCCAAACACAGCTGGTTTTGGGGTCACATGGGCCTGGTAAGTGTGGTAGCAACATGGGTCTGGGGGTGTCAGGATAGATAGACTTCCAGAGGGATGGGAATGGGGCTCAGGGAGCTGGGTATTAAGGGTGGGTTAGGGTCTGGGACATCAGAGAAGTGAGGGAGACCAAGGGGAGCCCCTCTTTCTTCACCACCCCAAACAGATTCATTCCTCCTCCCTCTGTCCATGCCATGGCCCCAGGCCTTTCTCTTTCTCACTCTTCCCCACCCTAAGCCTGCTTTGACTCAAGTTTCTGCCTGTCTTCCCCACATTAATGCATCCTTGTTTTACTTGGGGGCTCTAGGGTGGACCGCACAGAGCAGGTACTGTCCTGCTTTTTGTATTGTCTTTTTTTTTTTTTTTGAGGCGGGGTCTCAGTCTGTCTCCCAGGCTGGAGTGCAGGGGTGTAACCAGAGCTCACTGCAGCCTTGGCCTCCTGGGCTCACCCAATCCTCCCACCTCAGCCTCTCCAATAGCTGGGACTAGAGGCGTGCACCACCAGGTCTGCTAGCTTTTATATTTTGTAGAGACGTGGTCTGACTGTGTTGTCCAGAGTGGTTCCAAACTCCGGGCCTCAATCCTCTTATCTTGGCCTCCCAGAGTGCTGGGATTACAGGCCTGAGCCACCGCACTTAGCTCAATCCATAGTCGTCATCAGTAGACTTGAGGCCTCCTCAGGGGTACAGTTCAGAGCCTGCTCTCTGCCTGGCCCATCTCTGTGTGCCTCAGGCTGCTGTCTGCTCCTCTCTGGGCTGCTGCCTCCCCCTAGGAATTTGCTGTTTCTCCCTATGCCACCCACAGGGCACAGCTGGGCCAGAGGAGGGATGTGGCTGGCTCCCTCTCCCGCCTTTTACTCAGGCACTTTCTTATATTTCCCTCCACCCCTAAGATATGTCAGTGGGCCCCATTGCTCAGTTTGGATAAAAGTTGACTACTTTTCTTTTCAGAAGGGATCATTCTGGCCTTTGCCCTAAGAGCCAAATTTCCTGGGAGGAGATTCCTCACGCCCCTCTTCCTAGCCTCCTCCCAGAGGCCTTTTCTCCATGCCGTGTTGGCCCCTACTGCCAGAACCGTACCTTGGATTGTCACCCATAAGGGCGCCACCTTCAATGCCGTTGATTCAAGTGTTGCCTGCCCTGACCACAATCCCCTCTCCTTCCAGTTATTTTTTGTTCACTACGGGGGTTGGGGGGTGGGGCGCGGACTGAATCTCACTCTGCCACCCGGGTTGGAGTGCAATGGTGTGATCTTGGCTCACTGCAACCTCTGCCTCCCAGGTTCATGGGATTCTCCTACCTCAGCCTCCCAAGCAGCTGGGATTATAGGCACCCGCTATCACACCTGACTCATTTTTAAATTTTTAGTAGAGACAAGGTTTCTCCATGTTGGCCAGGCTGATCTCAAACTCCTGACCTTAAGTGATCTGCCCACTTTGACGTCCCAAAGTGCTGGGATTACAGGCATGAGCCACTGCGCCAGGCCCACTGCTTCTCATCTTACATCCTGTTGGGACTTCCAGTTCTCTCTACACCCCAGTCCAGCAGTTTCCTCCAGTTCTTCCTTGGCTTAGTTCCCATGGGCTCATGGGCTGGTTTCTTGCCAATTGGGCTGTCCTTCCTGGCCATTTGGAAGACCTTTGCCTTGGATGTGCTCAGTTGCCCATGTTCTCTCTTTATTTTTCATTTTTATAGACAAGGGTCTCGCCATGTTGCCCTGGAGGCAGTGAGAATGTTTATTATAAATATACTGCAGTTCCGCCTCCCTCCCTGAGGACTTGGCTGTGGAGACTGGTTTTGGTGGAGCTGGAGCTCTTCCAGCCCTTCCGGCTATGTGACCTTGGCCAGTCACTTTCCCCTCTCTCTGGGCTAATCTCATCAAATGCCTTGGATCCTCACCTCAGGTTGTTCAAAGATTCGGGAAGCGGGTGAACATGGTGGCTCACTCCTGTAATCCAGCACTTTGGGAGGCTGAGGTGGGTGGATCACGAGGTCAGGAGTTCAAGACCAGCCTGGCCAAGGTGGTGAAAACCCATCTCTACTACAAATACAAAAATTAGCCAGGCATGGTGGCGGGTGCCTGTAATCCCAGCTACTTGGGAGGCTGAAGCAGGAGAATTGCTTGAAACCAGGAGGTGGAGTGTTGGAAATGGATGCTCGGTGCCACAAAGAAAAATCAGCACTGAGATGAAGGATCTTTCAGCAACGCAATTTTTACTTCCTGGGCTGCAGGAAGGGCACTCCCGGTAGCCAACGTGCCATAGAAGGCTGAGGCAGAGAATTGCTTGAATTGGGGAGGTAGAGATTGCCGTGAGCCGAGATTGTGCTATTGCACTCCAGCCCGGGCAACAGAGCGAGACTCACAAAGGTGAAAATCACTTATGTGCACCTGGTTACAGCACCTGGGGTTGAGGCATAGATGCGGCATTCTGAGGTACCAGGGAGGAAAGGACATCTCTTCTGGATCCAACCCATCTCCTCCTTTCCTTTGAGGGATGCAACCTCAGGCTGCTCATTTGTAAATGGCAGGATTGGTGGGCGTGTCCATGGGTGCAGTGGGAGGGTGCACAGGACGCACCAGCACAGAGCCTGGTGTGCAGAAGCTCCTCACTGATGGGCAGAGTCACATCGACTCCCCTGGGGGTTGCTGAGAATGGAAAGTTCCCAGTGTGCAGACGCTTCTTCATGGGAGGAACTGGAGCCTTTGAGGTCCAGCCAGTATATGAAAGGATGTGGGGACCAGCCCTGGGGACATGTCCTGAGGCCACATTGCTGCCCACAAACCCCCTCCATGAAGACCTCCTGCTTCATCTCTGGGCTGGCTCAAGCTTTTTCTTCTTTCCATTCTTTGATGAGGACGTAGTCTCCAGGCTGGTACTGGTGTACAGGAAATTCTAGGGGTTTGCCTGTGCTAGGATACCTTGTATAATCTGTGGCTGCTCCTGGGGCTGGAACCACTCCTGGGTAGAGAAAATCCATCTTCCCAAGTGAAGATTAATCTCTCTGTGGGCAGAGAGTTGGTCTTCTGTCTCTGCCCTGGGAGATACCCTTAGAACTTGGAAATGGCCAGAGAGAGAAGGAGCAGGAGGAAGCAGAGATTCCCTCCATCCTTGCAGAATTGGGCTATGCTATTCACTGCAGAGGCTGTTCCATCTCAAGAACCTGCAGGGGGCACCTGCTGTGGCTCTTCCTGGGGAGGTGGCCTCTACCCTGCAGACCGCACACAGCAGGTCTTGAAGAACGTGGCTCCACTGGTGACTATCTATCCATAGCACTTTAAGAAGTGACTGGGTCAGCAGGGGGCAGTGACTCACACCTGTCATCCCAGCACTTTGGAAGGTCAAGGTGGGTGGATCACCTGAGGGCAGGAGTTGGAGACCAGCCTGACCAACATGGCGAAACCCCATCTCTATTAAAAATACAAAATTAGCTGGGCGTGGTGGTACATGCCTGTAATTCCAGCTACTCGGGAGGCTGAGGCAGGGGAATTGCTTGAACCTGGGAGGTACCTACCTTTCTCTTTCTTTCATCTATCTATCTATCTATCTATCTATCTATCTATCTATCTATCTGTCTCTGTCTATCTGTCTGTCTGTCTCTGTCTGTGTCTGTCTGTCCGTCTGTCCGTCCATCCATCCATCTGTCCATCAATCCTCTCTGTGCATCCATCCATCTATTCCGTTTATCTATCAATCATCCATCCATCTTATCTGTGCATCCATCCATCTACCCATCCATCTATCCTATTATCTACCTATCTACCTACTTAGCTACCTACCTACTACCTACCTACCTATCCATTCATCTATCCTATCTGTGCATCCATCCATCGTATCCTATTACCCATCCATCCATCCAATCTGTGTGTCTATCTGTCCATCCATCTATCCTATCTATCATCTATCTATCTGTTTGTATATCTACTGACCTGTTCATCTATCCATCCATCCATCCATCCATCCAATCTGTGTGTCCGGCTGTCCAATCAATCAATCAATCAATCTACCTACCTATCTATGCATGCATTCACCCATCCTATCTGTGGGTCCATCCAACCATCTATCTTATCTGTCTATCTGTCTATCCATCCATCCACCCACCCATCCATCATCTACATATCTAAAGAAAGACACACAGAGAGGAAGAGAGTGAGGGAACAGAGGAGCACATAGACACAGACACAGAAAGAGACAGGCCGAGACCAATATTTCAGGTGAAGGAGCCGAGCAGGGTGGGGTGTGCGGTGGGTAGGAGGGTACAATGAGCAGTGGTAGCATTGGAGGCCCCCTGCCGGCCTGGTGTCAGCCTTGTCCATCCCCAGGTGCAGAGCAATGAGGATGGCATGCGGTTGATGGAGCATCTGAGCCACTGCTTCCGTGATGTCCACCTTTGGTGGTTTGGGCCCTTCTATCCTGTCGTGCGGCTCATCCACCCTAAGTTCATTGCCCCTGTGCTCCAGGCTCCAGGTATCTCTCTCAGGAGGCTGTGCTGCAGCCTCTTCCCTGCCTCTGCTTCCAGTCCTTCCAACCCTTAGACAGGCCATGCTGAGCAGAAAAATGGGTGCATCCAACGGAGACCATGGCTCTGCCACTAACCTGCTGGGCGACTCTGGCCAGGTCCCTGGTGCTCTCTGGCTACTGAGGCCTCTATTAGTTGTAGGTGAAGAAAACTCAACCCTGTGTGGTCTAAGCAAAGAAAGAGAATGTATTGACTGTAAAGTCCAGGAAGGGTGGTCTTCAGGCATGGCTGGATCCAGTCCTTCGAATAATGCATCTTCATCTCTTAGCTCTGTATCCCTCTGTGATAGTTTCACTTCATGCTGGTAAAGATAAGTCCCAGAAAGCTCAACCCCTGTGGAAAATTCCCTGTAGTTCCAGTGAAAGTTCCAGGATTCTCCTAAATTTGCCTGGCCTGGGTCACAGGACCAATTTCTTATCCAGTTACTGCAGCTTGGTTGCATAGGTTTAAGGTCATATGCTCAACTCTGGAGCAGGTGGTGGGCATCCTCTCAACTACTCGGATTGAGAGTGGGGAAGGCATGAGGACGATGGATGCTGGATAGGCAGATGTCACAGACATCCATTTACCAGCATCCCTGCAACGTCGGCATTTCTTGAGTAAGAAAACTGAGGCTCAGAGAGGCACGATGACTTCTCAAGGTCACACAGCATATCTAGGCCTTCCTTTTGGTTCTTTATTTTTTCTTTTCTTTTTGTTTTTTTGAGACGGAGTCTCGCTCTGTCACTCAGACTGGAGTGCGGTAGTGCCATCTCTGCTCACTGCAAGCTCTGCCTTCAGCGTCCAAGCGATTCTCCTGCCTCAGCCTCCCGAGTAGTTGGGACTACAGGTGCCTGCCACCACACTTGGCTAATTTTTGTATTTTTAGTGGAGACAGGGTTTCACCATGTTGGCCAGGCTGGTCTCGAACTCCTGACCTCAAGGGATCCACCCAGCCCAGCCTCCCAAAATGCTGGGATTACAGGAGTGAGCCACCCTGCCTGGCTTAGTTCTTTTTTAAAAAAATTTTTTTTGATACAGGGTCTCACTCATTAATGCTCAGTGAGGACTGTGGCAGGATACCGAGGAAGCCTCCATCAAGCCTCAGTGATATCTGGGACACTAATAGGACCAGATTTAAATCCTATCTGGGGCCCACCCATCTGTGGGGCATGTGAAGTCATTTCAGATTCTCTCATGTCTGGGCATGGCATGTCAGGACAGGTCACGTAGATGGTGGCCATGTGAGAACACGTTAACTCATCTCAGGCTATGCCGCATGTCTCAGGTCCATGTCAGAAGGTGTCAGAGAGGACTGGGGCAGACGGTGTTCTAGGTCCTTGGAAAGCCATTTTGTAGAGTGTTGAGCTATGCCCAGGTGTTGCAGAACATGTAGGAGTTATGTCAAGGTATGCTGTGCCATGTTGGGCTATGTCACTGTTCTGCACTGCTGCAGCCTGGTCTGGTCCCCACTATCCTCCCCAATCCTCCTTTCTTCCTTTGCCCTTGACCCTCTTTCTGCTATGCTGGGCTTGGAGGGTGGAAGTGCAAACCCCAGGCTGGGAGCCTCACCCTACACTTGAAGTCACTCCCCTCCCCCTCTCCATGACCCCTGATGGTCCTTGTTCATGTCAGCTGAAGTTGCACCCAAGGATATGACTTTCTATGGCTTCCTGAAGCCTTGGCTGGGTGAGTAACTGAAGGAATGGGGCTGGGGACAGCCTTCTGGGGCCAGGGGAAGGTGCTGCCCTTGCCCATGGCCCTTGGCTGCCTCTATTAGGGACTGGGCTCCTGCTGAAGGATGGTGATAATTGGAGACGCCAGCGCCGCCTGCTTGCACCCGCCTTCCAGTTCAACATCCTGAAGCCCTATGTGAAGATTTTCAACAAGAGCGCGAACATCATGCACGTGAGTGCCACAAACTCGGGTCCCAGCTGGGGCCTTGGGAAAGGAGAAGTGACCTCAGACAGATCTGGTCTGAAATGCTGGCTCTGCTGGTGGCTTTGGTGCAGGCGCTTTTCCTCCCCAGGCCTTGGCTTCGTCATCTGTAAAATGGGGATAATTTTACAGACGGGGTTTCACCATTTTGGCCAGGATGGTCTCCATCTCCTGACCTCATGATCCACCCACCTCGGCCTCCCAAAGTGCTGGGATTACAGCTTTGAGCCACCACGCCCAGCCCAAAGCAGATTGTCTTAGCTATTACTAGAAGATTTGACGGAGGTGGTCGGGGGAGGGGCGGCGCTTAAAGAGGTAAAGAGGGCAGTGAGTTGACCAAGGGTACATAGAGCATAGGAGCAGAGCTGGAAATTGAACTCAGGTCACCTGATCCCCAACCTCAGGGTCTTCATGTTCTAATAGTAGCAGGTTCTGTTCCACCCAAGCTTGATCCTCCTTGGGGATGGGTACCTGGGGAAGAGGACCAGGAGTTGGTTCTAGGGGAGTCTATCCTGGAGGTTGGGGACAGGGAGGGGCTCAGGGGAGCCAGGGCTCAGTTCTGGCTCTGTCCCCTTCTCTGACCAGGCCAAGTGGCAGCGCCTGGCCTTGGAGGGCAGTGCCCGTCTGGACATGTTTGAGCACATCAGCCTCATGACCTTGGACAGTCTGCAGAAATGCATCTTCAGCTTTGACAGCAATTGCCAGGAGTGAGTTCTTGCCCAGGACCTGGGATCTTGGCCATGGACCCACGGGAGTAGGTTAGGGAGACAAGACTGATCAGGGCATCTGGAAGTGCCTTCTTAGAGAAAATGAGTCAGAAGTTGGCATGGAAGTACAGGGAAGGGGAGAGAGAAAGAGCCTTCAGGTAGGTAGAACTGTTTGAGGAAAGGCAAGGAGGCTAGGATGAGCAGATCATATGCAATAGCCATCAAGGAGACACCTTGGAAATGAGATTGGAAGGGTTAGCAGTAGCTACAACTTAAGGACATTGAAAAGCCATGCAAAGGTGTATGGACTTTATCCAAGGTTCCCAGGAAGCCATGGAAGGTGTTTGAGAAGATGAGAGTCATGGTCAGTGCTGAGCTTGAACATTTGACTCTATAGAAGACTAACTGTTATGTAGATGCAGGAAGCAGGGAGAGCATGGAGAGGAAGGGGTCTGAGCTTGGTGGAGGAAATGGGGTAGATTTTCGAGAAACCAAGGAGAATAGGCAGGAGTAGATGTTGAGTAAGAAAGGGGGAGATGCCCATGATGCCCAAGCTGTGGCCTGGGGACCGGAGGCAGGAGGCAGCTCACACAGAGTGGGAGGCAGAGAGTGAAGTGTGCTTGCAGAGCACCCTTTTATGCATGGAATATGGTCCTGGGATTCTGGCTGGGAGGTGCTCTCAGGCTTTCATGTGTGTTTAGAAGCTGCTGCTTCTCTCTGGCCTGGCCCTGGCCTGACCCTGCAGGAAGCCCAGTGAATATATCGCTGCCATCTTGGAGCTCAGTGCTCTCATCGCGAAACGGTACAGGCAGGATCATCCTGTACTCGGACTTCTTGTACTTCCTCACTCCCAATGGGCGACGCTTCCGCAGGACCTGTGACATAGTGCACAACTTCACAGATGCCATCATCCAGGAGCGTCGCCGCACCCTTGCTAGCCAGAGTGTTGATGACTTCCTGCAGGCCAAGGCCAAGTCCAGGACTTTGGACTTCATTGATGTGCTCTTGCTGGCTAAGGTGAGCTGCTCTGGGATCTGAATTTCAGAAGTAGAATGGATCTTGATGTCAAATGTCAGATCCATGCACTTGGACTTGATCCAGGGGGCATTGGGGAGCCATGGAAGGTGCTTCAGGAAAGAAGAAACAAGCTAGATACATTTTAGAGGTGACTCTGTGGAAGACGTCTTAGCAGGAGCAAACAGGAGGCAGGAGACTAGGAGAGAGTCCTGCTAGGCAGGTCTGGTGATGATAAGGGAGGAATCTTGCCTGGAGTATGGATCTTCATGGACTGTTTTAGGTTAGACTCAGATGCCTTCATCGCTGGGGCAATTTAGGGGTCTTGTCTTGTCTCCAGGATGAAAATGGAAAGGAGTTGTCAAATGAAGACATAAGAGCGGAGGCTGACACCTTCATGTTTGCGGGTAAGGGTCCCAGTGTGTGATGTCACTAGGGGTAGGAGTCTCTCCATTCCAGGGATGTGGTGGGTGGACCCTGGATCACTCCATCCGGTCTTCCTTCCCTGCTTCCTCCTGATGGCCTCAATGCATGGGTGCTGTCCACCCTCTGGTGCTGAAGCAGCCCAGAGACCCAAACTTACCTGGCTGCCCCTCAGGCCATGACAGCACAGCAAGTGGTCTCTCCTGGGTCCTGTACAACCTCGCAAAGCACCCGGAATATCAGGAACACTGCCGACAGGAGGTGCAAGAGCTCCTGAAGGGCCGTGATCCTAAAGAGATTGAATGGTAAGTGTGCAGGTACTAATGTCCTATTTCTGAGTCCCTCTCATTGGCTTAGCTCTTCAGGTGGGAAAGGGAGAAGGTCTTATTGCTGATTCTGCTATTACTGCCTAGTGGGAATAGGTGCAGAGCCCAGAAACGGCCTGGAGCAATGGAAAGGTTGCAGGATTTTTGCCTTTATTATCTGTTACAATTAAACCCATTCGATTCTCCCTCCTCTCCTCCCTCCTGCCTTCCCTCCCTCCCTTCCCCCACCTTTCTTTCTTTCTTTCCTTCTTTTTCTTTTCTTTTCTCTTCTCTTCTCTTTTCCTTCCATCCTTCCTTCTGTCCTTCCTTCCTTCCTGTCTTTCCTTCCTTCCTTCCTTCCTTTCCTTCCTTCCTTCCTTCTTTCCTTCTTTCCTTCTTTCTTTCTTGAAGACTTATTCTGTTGCCCAGGCTGGAGTACAGTGGCACAATCTCGGCTCCCTGCAACCTCCACCTCCTGGATTCAAGCGATTCTCCTGCCTCAGCCTCCCAAGTAGCTGGGATTACAGGCGTCTACCACCACATCCAGCTATTTTTTGTGATTTTAGTAGCAATGGGTTTTACCATGTTGACCAGGCTGGTCTCGAATTCCTAATCTCAGGGGATTTGTCCGCCTCGGCCTCCCAAAATGCTGGAATTACAGGCATGAGCCACAGCACCCGTCTAAGCCCACTGAATTCAAATAGATATTGCCAAATTGCCTTTTAGCATCTCTGCACTGGTTAACTCTCCAGTGTGTGGTAGAACTTTGTTTTCTCCGTTTTGATAGCCGCATAGTGTTCTATCATATGGATATACTGTAATTCATCAAAACATTCCTCCATTGATGGACATTTGTGTGCTTTCCAGGCTTTTGCTATAACTGACACGATAGAGTGGGCACCCATGTACACTGACCATCGCTTACATCTGTAGAGCAGATTGGCAGGATAAATTCAGAGAAGTGCAGTTGGTGAACCCAAGACCATTTGAGATTTACAATTATCCGAGAAGTGCAGTTGGTGAACCCAAGACCATTTGAGATTTACAATTCAATAGCTTGGAAAATCTACTCCTACACACACATTTTGAGAATGCCAATTCCTCACATCCTCCCTTAAAGTGTACGTTATGAAACTTTAAAACATTTGCCAATCTGATAGATGCAACATAATACTTCAATGAACATCACTTTAAGCATGGGTAAGTTGAGCATTGGTTTCACTTGTTGGCCAGCCATGTGTATTTCTTATTCTATGAAGTGTGAGTTTTCATAATTTGTTCTTTCTAGTTTGGGTTTTTGTAGTTTTTTCTGCTCATTGATTTATAAGCACTGTTTACATATTAAGAAAACTAGTTCTTTTTTTCTGTTTTGCAAAGTTATTTCTCAGATTGTTTTTGAATTAATTGTTGGCTTTGGTTCATTTGTAGTCAAATTCTTTCCTCTATAGATGCCATTTTTAAATTTAAATTTAAATTTTTATTTTGAGTCAGAGTCTTGCTGTATCACTCAGGCTGGATTGCTGTGGCATGCTCTTGGCTCAGTGCAACCTCTGCTTCCAGGGTTCAAGCGATTCTCTGCCTCCCAGGTTCAGGCGATACTTACCCTCCTGAGTAGCTAGATTACACACCTGTATCCTCACCACTATACCCAGCTATTTTTTTTTTATTTATTTTTAGTAGAGACGGGGTTTCGCCATGTTGGCTAGCCTGGTCTTGAACTCCTGACCTCAGGTGATCCACCTACCTGAGCCTCCCAAAGTGTTGGGATTACAGGTGTGAGCCACTGCACCTGGCCATGTTTTTGTTTTGTAAAATCATGCTTGGGAAATGCTTTCATAATCTAAAATTAAAATGAAAACTCTTGTTTGTTTTCCTCTAATGGGTTTATTTTTTAAATATTTATTTAATATTTTAGTTTTAAAATATTAATTAATTTTATGTCTATGAAATATATGTTGGTATGAGAATTGATGTAGTAAGCTATTCATTTTCCTCCAAATGCCCAGTTGTGCCAACAGAATTTAATGACTATTTCATACTTGTCTTAGGATTTTAAATAATAGCAGATTTGCAATAAGTGAAATTTATGTATATATTTGAATTTATTGGGCTGTATTCTGTTTCACTTAATTATTTTTTATTTTTTACTTTTTTGAGATGGAGTCTTGCTCTGTTGCCCAGGCTGGAGTGTAGTGATGTGATTTCAGCTCACTGCAACCTCTGCCTCCTGGGTTCAAGCGATTCTCATGCCTCAGCCTCCTGAGTAGCATGCCTAGCTAATTGTTGTATTTTTAGTAGAGATGGGTTTCACCATATTGGCCAGGCTGGTCTAAAATTTCTGACCTCAAGTTATCTGTCCACCTTGGCCATCCAAAGTACTGGATTACAGGTATGAGTAGTTGCACCTGGTCCATTTAATTATATAGTCATACATAAGAATCAAGATGTCTTAATCATTATACTTTTAAAAACACTTTCATATTTGATAAAGGTGATTGTGTCTCATTACTTTGCCTTTATAATTTTTCTTTTTTTGAGACAGAGTCTTGCTCTGTCACCCAGGCTGGAGTGCAGTGGTGCAATCTCTGCCTCCTGGGTCCAAGCGATTCTCCTGCCTCAGTCCCCTGAGTAGCTGGGATTAAAGGCGCGCTCCACCATGCCCAGCTAATTTTTGTATTTTTAGTAGAGATGAGGTTTTATCATGTTGGCCAGGCTGATCTTAAATGACTCTGAGCATCCCAAAGTGCTGGAATTACAGGCAAGAATGCAGTGGTGTGCTCTTGGCTCACTGCAACCTCCACCTCCTGGGTTCAAACTATTCTCCTATCTCAGCCTCCTGAGTAGCTGGGATGACAGTCGCCTGTCCTTACAATTTTTTCTTGAGTTCTATTTTTTCCATGTGAGTTCTATGATCAGATTGGCTAGTTTGAAAAATACCCTGGACATTTTAAATTAATTATTTTTTTGGACCTCAAGTGCCAATGGTTTTGTTAAGTGTGCTTCTCAATTCAAGGCCGGTTCTCATCATTTTTCCATTTGATACTTATTTCTTCTCCTTTATCCCGATTCTACAGTGTGTAGCCCCCCCCATCAATATAATTCTAGAGAGACAGATTCTTTCATTTGTAAAATTTTTTGTTAGGGTGGATGTATTTTAAAATTCCAAATATTTTGTGCTGGTTTTATGTTTTTCAGAAATGTAGCACTATGAAACTCATAGTGCTTAGCCATCTATGGTTCTAAGTATATTTCATTCATTGCTTTTTAAAATTTTTTAATTAGTTATTTATTTTGAGATGGGGTCTTGCTCTGCTTCCCAGGCTGGAGTGCAGTGGCATCATCTCAGCTCACTGCTACCTTTGCTTCCTTCTTCCTGGGTTCAAGCAATTCTCCTTCCTCAGCCTCCCCAGTAGTTGGATTGTAGACACCTGCCTAATTTTTTGTATTTTTAGTAGAGACCAGGTTTCACCATATTGGCCAGGGTAGTCTCAAACTCCTGACCTCGTAATCCATCCACCTTGACCTCCCAAAGTGGTGGGATTACAGGAGTAAGCCACCGCGCCTGACAGTTTTTTCTATTTTCACTAGAGACAGGGTTTCACTATGTTGGCCAGGCTGGTCTCAAACTCCTGATCTCAGGTGATCCGCCTGCCTTGGCCTACCAAAGTGCTGGGATTACACCATGCCTAGCCTGAGCACCTCTTCGTATTGTCCGATTTATGCCTAGTCTTCCATTATTGGAACGCTAAGCATGTACAAGTTATTCATATCCTACTGCTCCAGGTCATTGCCAAGGTCTGATTGTCAAAATTCAAAAAAATTGCAACCTCAAGCATAAATGGATTAAATCTCATGTATTCGAGCATCCAGGAATTCTTAGGTCATACTCTTTGTCTACTTTTCTCTTGGATCACCTGTTCATTCTCTTGTTATTTTGCAGGAATTCCTTGTATTCTAGATATTGTATCCATCTTTGAATCTGAATGTTCATTTGGTCCATGGTGTTCTTTATCACACAAAACTCTTAATTTTCATGTGTATTTATCCTTTTCCTTTTTGATTTTCCACTTTGTGCTTTTGAGGTTTTAAGAATTCTTACTCCTAAGTCACAAAAATGTCTATTCTGTTATCTTCTTTTAACTTTTTTTTTTTTTTTTTGAGACGGAGTCTTGTTCTTTCACCAGGCTGGAGTGCAGTGGCATGATCTCAGCTTACAGCAACCTCCGTCTCCCAGATTCAAGCGATTCCCCTCTCAGCCTCCTGAGTAGCTGGGACTACAGGCGCGTGCCTCCTGAGTAGCTGGGACTACAGGTGCGTGCCACCACGCCCGGCTAATTTTTTTTTATTTTTAGTAGAGACAAGGTCTCACTATTTTGCCCAGGCTGATTTTAAACTCCTGGGCAAGCAATCTGCCTTCCTCGGCCTCCCACAGTCTTGGGTTTAAAGGCGTGAGCCACCATACCCAGCTCATTTATCTTATAAAAAGTATTTTGTTTCATTTTTATTGCTATGCCTTTGTAACAAATCATAGTATCTGGTAGATTTGATTTATCTTCTTTAAGCTTTTATTTTTACTTGGTATTTTTTAAAGAGATGGGCTCTCACTTTATGGCCTGGGCTGGAGTGTGTTGGCATGATCATAGCTCACTGCAGCCTTGAACTCCTGGGTACAAGGGATCCTCACACCTCAGTCTCCTGAGTAGCTGGGACCACAGGCACACACCACCATGCCTGGTGGATCTTTTAATTAATTAATTAATTTATTTTGAGATGGAGCTTTGCTCTAGTTGCCCAGACTGGAGTGCAGTAGGTTCAATCTCAACTTACCACAACCTCCGCTTCCCGGGTTCAAGCGTTTCTCCTGCCTCAGCTTCCCGAGTAGCTGGGATTACAGGCATGCACCACCAAACTTGGCTAATTCTGTATTTTTAGTAGAGATGGGGTTTCTCCATGTTGGTCAGGCTGGTCTTGAACTCCCGACCTCAGGTGATCTGCCTGCGTCAGCCTCCCAAGGTGCTGGGATCACAAATATGAGCCAGGCTCTGGATCTTTTATTTTTAAATTGACCTAGCCTCTGATGAAATTTATTTCTTCCAATTAGAATAAGATTGTTAAGTTTCTAAAAATAAAAAACTAGATTTTTATTGAATTGCTTTGAATATGTTGATTAATTTAGAAAGAAATGACACCTTTATAATATTATTAAGTCATCTCATTCTAGAGTTTGGAGAGGATCTTATTGAAACAGCTTTATAATCTTATTTATTTATTTATTATTTTGAGACAGAGTCTTGCTCTGTCACCAAGGCTGGAGTACAGTGGCACAATCTCTGCTCACTGCAACCTCCGCCTCCCAGGCTCAATGGATTCTTGTGTCTCAGCCTCTTGAGTAGCTGAGATTAGAGGCACATGCCACCACACCCTGCTAATTTTTTTCTTTTTTTGTATTTTTTTTTTTTTTTTTTTTTGAGATGGAGTTTCGCTCTTGTTACCCAGGCTAGAGTGCAATGGTACGATCTCGGCTCACCACAACCTCCGCTTCCTGGGTTCAGGCAATTCTCCTGCCTCAGCCTTCTGAGTAGCTGGGATTACAGGCACGCGCCACCATGCCCAGCTAATTTTTTTGTATTTTTAGTAGAGACGAGGTTTCACCATGTTGACCGGGATGGTCTCAATCTCTTGACCTCGTGATCCACCCGCCTCGGCCTCCCAAAGTGCTGGGATTACAGGTTTGAGCTACCACGCCCGGCCTTTTTTTTTTGTTGTTTTTAGTAGACACAGGGTTTTGCTATGTTGGCCAGGCTGGTCTCCAACTCTTGGCCTCAAGTAATCAAGCTGCCTTGGCCTTCCAAAGTGCTAGAGTTATAGGCGTAAGCCATAGCACCTGGCCTCATTATAGAGTTTTAAACATTTTTTAATGCATGTAGGTTAACATTTTTAAGGAGACCCTTTATGTGCTGTGTTTTGCTTAGAAATGCTTCTAAAAATGCCATAGCAAATTTTCTTCTAATACTTCAGTGATTATCATTCTCTCTCTCTCTCTCTCTCTCTCTCTCTCTCTCCCCCCACCCCCCCCACCTCAGGTGATCTGCCCACCTTGGCCTCCCAAAGTGCTGGGATTACAGGCGTGAGCCACCGTGCCCAGCGGACTTTATCTTCCTTCTACCCTTTAGGCTGTCCTTGTTCATTCCCAGGCATAGGCTGAGCTAACTTTGGGAAGGAATTCAGTTCCTGGTTTGACTCTGAAACAAAACTTCTAACAGTCCTTTCCTGAAAAGATCCTCCTGTCTTGATAAATGGTCTCTTTTCAGGCAGTGGGCAAGGTGAATCCACACCAAGTTGGTGTGAGGGTCTCTCTGGGCAGCAGGTTTGCTACCCGGATAATTGTTGGGTGTTTCCTGAGGGACGACCTGGCCCAGCTGCCCTTCCTGACCATGTGCCTGAAGGAGAGCCTGCGGCTGCATCCCCCAGTCCCCCTGATCTCCCGCCGCTGCATCCAGGACGTGGTGCTCCCAGATGGCCGGGTCATCCCCAAAGGTGCCCACCGGTGGGCAGTGGGGGAGGGCCTTGGGCAGGGCAGGGGTCCCATTGTGTGGCAGGGACCTTGTCCTGACTGCACCTCCTCCCCAACAGGGAACATCTGTACCATCAGCATCACTGGGGTCCATCACAACCCCTCAGTCTGGCCGGACCCTGAGGTGCCACCCCCTGCCCTTTTCTCCATCCCTGGGGCCTGATCAGGGAGGGATATTGTGCCTGGGAAGCAGATACCCCGCACCTATTCCTCCTACATCTGTCTTCTATGGGGGTGGCTGGGTGTCCTGAGAGACCCCCACCCAACAGCCCTAACTTGCCCCACCCCCCAGGTCTATGACCCCTTTCGCTTCAGCCCAGAAAACCCCCAGAAGAGGTCACCTCTGGCTTTTATTCCCTTCTCTGCGGGGAACAGGTGAGGCTAAGGGGCTTCCGAGGTGGGTATGGGATGAAGGGGCCCCAGGTGGTGGCAAGGTCTGAGTTGTCGGTTCGTGTTTCAGGGGGTCCAGGGTTTGAATAAGATCCCAGAAAAAGAGGGGTGTGTGTTCTCAGACTTCTCCACTCCTACCTCTGCTGATCTAGGCCAAGCTCGGGGGATATGCAAGCCCACATGGGTGTCCTAGGCACCAGGTCCCTCTCTCTGGCCCTCGATCGGATCTGGGTGGGGTTGGGAGTCCCAGGCCAGGTTCCCGGCGCTACGAGGCCGAGGCCGGGATGGGTGTCCCGGGCACAGTCAGAGTCCCCACTCTCTACCCCAGGAACTGCATCGGGCAGGCGTTCGGCATGGCTGAGATGAAGGTGGTCCTGGCGCTCACGCTGCTGCGCTTCCGCGTCCTGCCGGACCACGTGGAGCCCCGCAGGAAGTTGGAGCTGGTTCTTCGCGCGGAGAATGGACTTTGGCTACGGGTGGAGCCCCTAAGCGCGGACCTGCAGTGACCCACAGCCCCCGGACGGATCCTCTCGTACCTTTGCAGATTCATCTGTGCTGTCCTCTGTGCCTGAGTCCCACGGACAGCCAGCAGGGGTCGCTGGAGGACCGCAGGGATCCAGGGCCTGGCTGGGAGGAGGCCGGGAGGTGTCTCTGAGCTAAGACCCTGACAGCCTTTCTGGGTGAGCGCAATGCCCTCCCCGCCCCTTCCGTGCTGAGGGCGAGTTCTTCTAGAGCCCAGGTCTGGACTTTATCCTGTGGGCCATAGGGAGCCATGGCGGGTGTTAGAGCAGGAGAGGGACCAGGGCTGAGGAGGCACCTAAGGGGCAGGTTCGAGGGTCTGAGTCACTGAGGAAAACCAGAGTGGCACTACACTCCCACCACCCGGACCTCAGTTCTCATCTAATACACCCAGTTCTTTTTTTTTTTTTTTTTTTCCCTCTCATCTTAGGGTTCTTCATTGTTTTCATAGTTCTTAAATGACTGTGCTTATGAAATAATACTAAGCCTGGTTGTCTTAAGTGTGTCCAATCATTGAGTGTATTTGTATCTATTATGACACCTGTCATTTTTGTCATGGGGTCAGTGTTTGGTTATCTTTACCTGGTATTGGATGACATATTTGCATATTTGAAATAATATTCGTAGGATTTAAAGAAGACAGCTCTCTCTCTCCCCCCCGCAGAGTCTCGCTGTGTCACTCAGGCTGGAGTGCAGTGGCGTGATCTTGGTTCACTGCAACCTCCACCTCCCGGGTTCAAGCGATTCCCCTGCCTCAGCCTCCCAAGTAGCTGGGATTACAGGTGCTCGCCACCACACCCGGCTAATTTTTGTATTTTTAGTAGAGACAGGGTTTCGCCATGATGGCCAGGCTGGTCTCGAACTCCCAACCTCAAGTGACCAGCCCACCTCGGCCTCTAAAAGTGGTGGATTACAGGCGTAAGCCACAGTGCCTGGCCAGAAGAATTCAGCTTTCTCTAGGGAGGAATCTTTGGTGGACTGCTGGTTGAGGTTTATGCTTAATGACGCTATAGGCTCGTGCTGGACAAGGTCTCCCGGGCAGTTTAAATTTAAGCTGAAATCATACTTGCAGACTGTTTTGCTTTATTTTCCTCTCACCCTGAGAGATGTAGTCTTTTGAGGGCTCCACATATGCAAGGGGGAGCTTTTTACCATTTCCCCTTTTTATATCATTCCTAGGCTTAGAGTTTTTGTTTTTTTCCCTGCAATCACAAAACCATTAAAACAGAGTTTCACATTTTCCTGATTTGAGAAGTGTCTTCAGAGAGAATGTATAATTTATGTCATTTTATCTCTAGGTTTCTGTTTTTATTTGAATGCTGTTTGTGTGATTTTTCACTGTCTTTTCTTATTTTTTTCTTTTCTTTCTTTTTTCTTTTCTTTTCTTTTTTTTGAGACGGAGTTTCGCTCTTGTTACCCAGGCTGGAGTGCAATGGCGCGATCTCAGCTCACCGCAACCTCCGCCTCCTGGGTTCAGGCAATTCTCCTGCCTCAGCCTCCTGAGTAGCTGGGATTACAGGCATGCGCCACCATGCCCAGCTAATTTTTTGTATTTTTAGTAGAGACGGGGTTTCACCATGTTGACCAGGTTGGTCTCGATCTCTCGACCTCATGATCCACCGCCTCGGCCTCCCAAAGTGCTGGGATTACAGGCTTGAGCCACCGTGCCCGGCTCTTTTTTCTTTCTTTCTTTCTTTCTTTCTTTTTTTTTTTTTTTTTTTTTTTTGAGATGGAGTGCAGTAGCACGATCTCGGCTCACTGCAACCTCTAACTCCCTGGTTCAAGCTATTCTCCTGCCTTAGCCTCCCAAGTAGCTAGGATTACAGGCATGCACCACTGTGCCCAGCTAATTTTTGTATTTTTACAAAAATACAAAACGGGTTTCACTGCGTTGGCAAGGATGGTCTTGATCTCCTGACCTCATGATCTGCCCACCTTGGCCTCCCAAAGTGCTCGGATTACAGGAATGAGCCACCATGCCTGGCCCATTTTATTTTAAATTCTGGGATACATGTGCAGGACATGCAGGTTTGTTATATAGGTAAATGTGTGCCATGGTGGTTTGCTGCACCTATCAATCCAGCACCTAGGTATTCAGCCCAGCATGCATTACCCTGATGAGCCAGTTTCTTTCTTTCTTTCTTTCTTTCTTTCTTTCTTTCTTTCTTTCTTTCTTTCTTTCTTTCTTTCTTTCTTTCTTTCTTCTTTTTCTTTTCTTTTCTTTCTTTCCTTCTTCCTTCCTTCCTTCTTTCCTTCCCTCCCTCCCTCCTTTCTTTCTTTCTTTCTCTTTCTTTTTTTTTTTTGAGGTGGAGTCTCACTCTGGCACCCAGGCTGGAGTGCAGTGGTGTGATCTTGGTTCATTGCAAGCTCCGCCTCCTGGGTTCAAGCAATTCTCCTGCCTCAGCCTCCTGAGTAGCTGGGATGACAGGCATGCACCACCATGCCCGGCTAATTTTTGTATTTTTAGTAGAGATGGGGTTTCACCATATTGACCAGGCTGGTCTTGAACTCCTGACCTTGTGATCCACCCACTTCAGCCTCCCAAAGTGCTGGGATTACAGGTGTGAGCCACCACGTCTGGCCAGGAGCCAGTTTCTTAATGCATAGGTCTCACCATAACTCCGACTGGGATATTGTGTTAGCTACAATTTACAGTGAGCAGACTGGGGCTGAGAGCTACCAGGGGCACTCGGCTTGCAAGTGCCTGATCTTGCCTTTGAATTTAGATTTATTTTCACTCTCTCTTACTCCATTGCCTCACTACGAATGGTCACTCTCACCTCTTTGTGAAGCATTTTGAAGCTAAACTCTGTGCTGTCAACATGTGCAAGGGAAAAATATTCAATTACAAGCATTTACACATGTTTCTTTTTGAGACAGTCTCACTCTGCCACCCAGGCTATAGTGGCACAGTCTCAGCTTACTGCAACCTCCGTCTCCTGGGTTCAAGTGATTCTTGTGCTTCAGCCACCCAAATAGCTGGGATTACAGGCATGCATTTTTTTTTTTTTTTTTTTGAGATGGAGTCTCACTCTGTCGACCACGCAGGAGTGCAGTGGAGCAATCTCGGCTCACTGCAACCTTCCCCTCCCAGGTTCAAGCGATTCCCCTGCCTCAGCCTCCTGAGTAGCTGAGACTACAGGCGCCCTCCACCACACCCAGCTAATTTTTTGAATTTTTAGTAGAGACAGAGTTTCACCGTGTTAGCAAGGATGGTCTCGATTTTCTGACCTCATGATCCATTCATCTCGGCCTCCCAGAGTGCTGGGATTACAGGCGTGAGCCACCGTGCTGGGCCAATTTTTGTATTTTTAATAGAGATGAGTTTTTGCCATGTTGGCCAGGCTGGTCTTGAACTCCTGACCCCAAGATATCAGCCTGCCTCAGCCTCCCAAAGTGCTGGGATTACAGGTGTGACCCACCACAAATGGCCGTAAGCATTTACAATTCTCATCTCTCTTAAATCTTCAGCAAGATTTAAGGCTTGCTGAAGCGGGATTGGACTGTAAATGGAGAACATAGCCTATAGATAGGCCTGTACAAGAAAGGATATGAATGACCCCAAGGTGTTGTGAGAGTGACAGGAAAATAAAAATAGCTGCCACAAGAAGCAGGGCACTTGGAGGTTGATGAAATGATGAAAAAGGTTTTTAAGGAAGGTTAGCAGCATAATCTCCTTGGTGACCCCGAGAGACCTTCAGCAAAGCCCTATGTTACTTTTCAAGGCTTTTTAGCATTGGATCTAAGGTTTTTGCAAAGCGATGCTTGGTTTATCTCTAGGTTGCAAAGAATACTGTGATTCCCTTCCTGCCAATGTATCTGTAACAGTCCTCACTTGTTGACTTGGGTTGCGCAGAGCAATGATTCTCAACCTTGAACATGCTTCAGGGTCTCCTGGAGGGCTTGTTAAGACACAAAAAGCTGGCCGTCATGGTGGCTCACACCTGTAATCCCAGCACTTTGGGAGGCTGAAGTGGGGGAATTGCTTGAGATCTGGAGTTCAAGACCAGCCTGGCCAACAAAGTGAGACCACCCCTCCCGCCCCCACCATGATCTACAAAAAAAAAAAAACAATTTTCTGCTCATGGTGGTATGCACCCATAGTCTCAGCTACTCAGAAGGCTGAGGTGGGAGGATCCCTCAAGTCTGTGAGTTCCAGATCAGCCTGTGCAACATAGTGAGAACCCCATCTCTACAAAATAAAAAATTATCTGGGCATGGTGGCATACATCTGTTAGTCTTAGCTACTTGGGAGGCCAAGGCAGGAGGATTGCTTGAGCCCAGGTGTGGGAGACCATCTTGGGCAATGTAGAGAGACCCCTGTCTCTACAAAAATAAAAGTTGCCAGGCACGGTGGTATGTGCCTGTCATCCCAGGTACTCGAGAGGCTGAGGTGGGAGGATCACTTGAGCTTGGGAGGTCGAGGCTCCAATAAACTATGATCATGTCACTGTACTTTAGGCTGGGCAACAGAGCAAGACCCTGTCTCAAAAACGAAAGCAAAAAACAAAACAAAAAACTCCCTCCAAACCCATCGCACACAAAAAGCTAAGCCCTTTCTCTGAAGTGTCTGGTATAAGAACCAGCATATAGAAAGATCTGTACAAGAAAGGATATGAATGACCCCAAGGGCACTTCTAGACAGTTCACAGAGGATGCTGGTGCTTCTAGCCCACGGACCACAGCTGGGGAGCTGCTGCATTGGAGAAACCTCTTTTTCGAGACCTCTCCTATCTGTGCAAATGTCTTGCAACTGGAGACCCTCAGTAGTTTTCCTCCACATGTCCTGCCACAGAGGGTCTGCCCTCTGCGTGCTTTGTCCACTCGGAGTCTAGAATTGGTCGCAGTCTCTTCTCTCTCTCTTTTGGCATCCAAGGAGCCAGATTCCTCTCCTCCACCCCATCCACCGTCACCCCCCAGCTCAATCCCTTCCCCATCCCTCATTTGCTCACCAGGATGGCATCACCAAGGGAAGTGTCTCAGGAAGCCACCTTCTCACCAACTGCTAGAGGATTCTGAGGTCAGCAGTAAACCCCCAGGAAAGGCATGAGAGGCTACTCACCTGTGATTGCTGGGGTGAGCCTGATGTCTATGGGAAGGACTCATATGTGTGTCCCCCTAAGATTGGGAAGGTGAGTGGGGGGCTAGGGACACAGCAGGGTGTTTATGTTCTGGGGATTCTAGGAGACTTCATCCCCATAGCTCCTTGTTAAGGAAGAGGATGCTAATTATTTTGTTTCTCCTCTTTGCTACATGTGACCTGTTCTTTTGGAGGTGGGTATGCTTTGGGATCATGGGGTGGGTAAGAAGAGGAAACAGTCTCCAGGGATTCACTCTCACTAGGACATCTCTCTAGAGTCTCCTCCCAGCTCAGACTGTGCTTCATGGAAGCAGGGAGGTCTGGGAGGTCCCTGCCCTCAGTAGGGCCCTCAGATGCCTCAAGCTGAGAGGTCCTTTCATTCATTGCATCATGGAAGAAATTGTTTGGTTCATTAATGAAAGCTCCAGAAAACTATGAAACTATCAATAAGTAGACATTGAATAAATACATTTATCAAACACTTTAGAGATGGAGTTTCACTCTTGTTGCCCAGGCTGGAGCGCAATGGTGCAATCTCGGCTCACTGCAACCTCCACCCCCTGGGTCCAAGCGATTCTCCTACCTCAGCCTCCCAAGTAGCTGGGATTATAGCCATGTGCCACCAGGCCCGGTATTTTTAGTAGAGACAGGGTTTCTCCATGTTGATCAGGTTGGTCTTGAACTCTTGACCTCAGGTGTTCTGCCTGCCTCGGCCTCCCAAAGTGCTGGGATTACAGGCATGAGCCATCGTACCCTGCCTTTTTTTTTTTGAGTTTGAATGTCACTCCGTCACCAAGGCTATAGTGCAGTGGTGCAATCTTGGCTCACTGCAACCTCCACCTCTCAGGTTCAAGTGATTCTCCCACTTCAGCCTTCTGAGTAGCTGGTATTACAGGCGCCCACCACCATACCCAGCTAATCTTTGTATTTTCAGTAGAGACGGGGTTTCACCGTGTTGGCCAGCCTGGTCTCAAACTCCTGACTGCAAGTGATCTGCCTTCTTCAGCCTCCCAAAGTGTTGGGATTGCAGGCGCGAGCCACTGCGCCTGGCCCATAAATCATTTTTTAAAAATAGCTTTTTAATTTAAAACAGTTCTACACATTAAAAAAAAAAAAAAAAAAAGGTTTTGCACAGGTTGAACACAAAGTGCCTGGAGGTGGTGGTGGGAAGATCAGGTCATAGGAGGGTGGCTCAGGTGCCCCAAGCATTGGCCAGGGGTGATTTGGATTGTATCAGAAATATCAAGTGATAATGACGGAAAAGGGAAAAAGGACGGAAACTGGTTGCTATCCCAGAGGGAGGGGCAGAGGGCTCACCCAGCCATCCACGGTGGGATCCATGCTACCGATTCTTGGCAAAGGCTCCCCTAACTCCCTCCCGCCCGGGCCCCGCCCCTCCCGCCAGGGCCCCGCCCCTCATCCCGGGCCCCGCCCTCACGCAAGCGACCGAGCCAATGGGGCGCGGCAGTTGGTTCGGGCACGGACGGGCGGCGGAGGCTGAACTGGAGGCGGAAGGAGGCGGCAGCGGAGGGGTAAATGGTGGCGCCCGTCCTCCTAAGAGTGAGGGTGCCGCGGTGGGAGCTGGTGGCCCGACACCCGTGTGCACCGCCGGAATCTTGCTCTCCATCTGCGCCTACCATGTGGAGCGGGAGGAGCGGGACCCCGAGCACCCGGCCTTCTGCGACCTGGGGCCCTGGGTGAAGTGCTTCGCCGCTCTTGCCTCCAGGTAGCCATTGGGGCGAGGGCGGAGGCTCGGGGAGGGGAGCGCACGGCGGGAGCTCGGGCCTGGGCCGTCGGGGAACGGGCCGCGGGGGAACGGACCGGGTAGGGGCCAGGGCCAGGCGGGGGACGGCGGCTTGGCGCTCTTGCCCTAGGGGCGGCCCGAATCCAGGCCGCGCGGCGGAGGTGGCGGGGCCGCGAGGCCGCCAGGGCGCGATGAGGTGATAGTGCAGCCGGGAGGCCGGGGCGGTCGGGGTGCGGTCGGGCGGGCGGGAGCTGCGCTGGGCTGGAGCGGAGGGTCTGAGGAGGGCGGGTCCCGGCCAGCCTGACAGGTTTCCCGGTTCTCGGGAGGCGGGCCGGGGGTGTCCGCCGCCCCCGCGAGGCCCCCGACCACCTTTTGCCCCCCCATCGCTGCAGCCGACGCTTTGGGGCCGGCGCGGACTCAGGGGGCTTGCGTTTCCCAGTGTCTTCCTGGGGCTGGGACAGGTGTTTCCGAGGTCAGGCCTCTTTGTACTCCAGCGCTAGTGAGAATTTGCAGACTACTGGGACGGTGACATTTGCCGGCAAACACGAGTTTGACTCTGCTCTGGAAGAAGATCCCGGTACTTAACATACCTGATTTCTTGGATTTTCCCCTCGTATATTTCAGTGTGCCAGGAGGGGGAAATGGTCTGAGTTTGTGTCTGAGTTTAAGCTTCATTGGAGTAAAGGACCAGTATGTTATGTGTATGGTGGTGGTTTACGCATTGGGATGACTTTTAAACGTTATTAGTATAATAGGATAGATACCCACAACAGATTAAAAACGCACGCTTTGCTGAACTTGAGCGATTGGTTTGTGTTACTGATCATTTCAGTTTTTTTTTTTAATGTTGTAATTGGTTTGTCTGTTACGTTTTATTTTAACGCATTAAATTTTTCTAGGCAAGTTACTTTGAAAAAGGGAGGAATTTACATTTTAAATGTGGCTGCTGTTTTTTGTTTTTGTTTTTTGGGGGAGAATGAAAAACAACAGCAGTTGAAGGAATGATTTCAGAATAGATAGATTACGATTTTAATAGAGACTATGTCTAATATTTAGATTTTTGTTAATATGTTTGTTAACAGTACTCACATTTGAGCAATTTCTTCCCCTCCTGTTGATTGGTAAATTGGTATGTAGACAGAAATGTATAGCTCACTAGTTTATTTCGACTCACATATTGTTGATTACATGAACAAGTTAGCATTGGAGTTTGTCTTGTTATTGGTTACAAGGGGCAGGGTGCAGATCTTTCCACTTAGCCTTCTCATGGACGAGATACTCTATCTCATTTGCTCTTTTTTTTTTTTTTTTTTTTTTTTTGAGACAGAGTCTTGCTCTGTCACCAGGGTGGGGTGCAGTGGTGCAATCTCAGCTCACTGCAACCTCCGCCTCCTGGGTTCAAGCGATTCTTTCGCCTCAGCCTCCCGAGTAGCTGGGACCACAGGCGTGTGCCACTATGCCCGGGTAATGTTTTTGTATTTATAGTGGAGACGGGATTTCACCGTTTTGGCCAGGATGGTCTCGATCTCTTGACCTCGTGATCCGCCCGCCTCGGCCTCCCAAAGTGCTGGGATTACAGGTGTGAGCCACTGCGCCCGGCCCTCTCATTTGCTGTTAAACCAAAATCCTGTAGCTTTTTACAGGGGAAATAATTATCACGTGGCCAAGTGAAACATTTTGAAAATGCGTTTAAAATGTAGGTATTAGTTTACAGGGGAAAATACATAGATGTGACAAAAAGCTCACATTTGTTGTTGGTGGTTATTCTGAACCAAGGTAATAGGCTGATTAGACTCTCAGATACCCTCTGAGAAATATTGAGTGTCTTTTATGCAAAATGTTTTTATGTTGTTTTCACTTTGGGAAAGGACTTTTAATCTCATAAATACCTTCCACCTGAAGTTAATTGAATAAATGTGTAAGGAAAACGTGTAGCAGCATATTTCAAGTATTTAAGAAACAAGAACTAAAAATAACTTTTGATCCTAGGTTAATATGGAATTTAAGCTAAGCAGAATTATTACCAACTTTAGATTTTTTTTTGAAACAAGTAGTCTAAAATAAATGGGCCTTTTAACATTGGGGCATGGAAGGAGTACTTTACTGTATGCTTAAGTTCTTAAAATTGACTTTTTTTTGGCTGGGCGCGGTGGCTCAAGCCTGTAATCCCAGCACTTTGGGAGGCCGAGGCGGGTGGATCACGAGGTCAAGAGATTGAGACCATCCTGGTCAACATGGTGAAACCCGTCTCTACTAAAAACACAAAAAATTAGCTGGGCATGGTGGCACGTGCCTGTAATCCCAGCTACTCAGGAGGCTGAGGCAGGTGAATTGCCTGAAACCAAGAGGCGGAGGTTGCTGTGAGCTGAGATCGCGCCATTGCACTCCAGCCTGGGTAACAAGAGCGAACTCCGTCTCAAAAAAATTGACTTTTTTTTTTTAAAAAAAGAGAGTTTTGAACCATTTAATAAGCATACACTCTAAAGATACTCATAGTTATATATCCTGCAAGAGCTGCATATTTGTGCATCATAAAACATCAAGAAGATATTAAAAGTATATGTAAGTATATGTAAGACTAAAGGTAACTGGATCTCTTTATGGTTTAAATTTGAATTTGATATGTTGTGACTGAAAGTGTTGTTTCAGTGTGTAGCTGTGGACATAAAATAGTTTAACTTAGATGCTTGTTAAAGGATAGGTAAAATTAAGGTATGCTAATAAGAAGAGTAAATAACTTACTTGCTATCAATACAGTGAAATTAAGAAATTCATTCCGTTTGATCAGCCTGTATATAAAGTACTTGCAAAAATTAAGTAGTTTGTAAACTACTCATTTAATAAATTAATTTACAGGTCAACTTATTTTGGAAATAGTTTATAAACAGGCTGATCAAAACACATGTATATATACATATAATCACATATATACATATATAGACTAATTTTCATTTGGAAATAGGTTGACAAAACATTGAAAGTTTTTATTTTGTCAAGCTGAAAGAGACTTTAAATGAAAGCTGATTACTGGACACCTCAAGTTAGCTTCTTTTGAGTAGTGATTGCCATGTAGCAGTACTACTCAAAGATGGGACTCTTAGGAAAAGATAGTTCGAGCTCAGGCTGGGTGTGGTGGTTCACACCTGTAATACCAGCACTTTGGGAGGCCGAGGCAGGAGGATCACCTGAGTTCGGGAGTTTGAGACCAGCTTGACCAACATGGAGAAATCCCATCTCTACTAAAAATACAAAATTAGGTGGGTGGGTGTGGTGGTGCACACCTGTCATCCCAGCTACTCTGGAGGCTGAGGCAGGAGAATTACTTGAACCCAGGAGGTGGAGGTTGCAGTGAGCCGAGATCACACCATTGCACTCTAGTCTGGACAGGAGGGAAATTCTGTCTCAAATAAATAAATAAATAAGAAAGTTTGAAGCCACTTGGCTTCAAACCACTTGGCTCACGCCTGTAATCCCAGCTCTTTGCGAGGCTGAGATGGATGCATCATCTGAGGTCAGGAGTTTGAGACCAGCCTCACCAACATGAAGAAACCCTGTCTTTACTAAAAATACAAAATTAGCTGGGTGTGGTGGTGCATACATGTAATCTGAGCTACTCAGGAAGCCGAGACAGAAGAATCAATTGAACCTGGGAGGCGGAGGTTGTGGTGAGCCGAGATCGCACCACTGCTCTTCAGCTTGGGCAACAAGAGTGAAACTCCGTCTCAGAAAAAAAGAAAAAAGTTTGAGGCCAGAGAAAAGTTAACAGATGAAAAAGATTCTGAAGAGAGTCCTCTTCCAGGGTCCAGTGTCAGCACATGGTTTTGGATTGCTTATACTCAACTTTATTCTCGTTTCATATCCCCAAATGTCCTAATCCAAACAGAATAAGGTAGAGGTTAAAGAGAGAATCTTGAGGGGGCATGTGTTATCTGTGTGTTTTGGCTTTTTTTGCCTGTCTGTGTCTTTGGATTGGGAGATTTAGTCGATTTAAATTTAGGATTAATAATAATTTATGTGAGTTTACTACTGCCATTTAATGTTAGCTGGCTGTTTTGCCCATTAGTTGATGTAAATTCTTGATTATGTTGAAGCTCTTTACTTTTTGGTATTTTTTAGAAAGCCTGATACTGGTTGTTCCTTTCTATGTGTAGTGGTTCTTTCAAAAGCTGTTGTAAAGCAGGCCCGGTGGTGATGAAATCTCTGAGTGCTTGCTTGTTCACAAAAGATTTTATTTTTCCTTCGCTTATGAAGCTTAGTTTGGCTGGATGTAAAATTCTGGGTTGAAAGTTCTTTTCTTTAAGGATGTTAAATATTGGCCCCCACTCTCTTCTGGCTTGTAGGGTTTCTGTTGAGATATCTGCTGTGAGTCTGATAGGCTTCCCTTTATGGGTAACCTGACCTTTTTCTCTGGCTGCCCTCAGTATTTTCTCCTTCATTTCAACCCTGGTGAATCTGGCGATTATGTGCCTTGAGGTTGGTCTTTTTGAGGAATATCTTTGTGGTGTTCTCTGTATTACCTGGAGTTGAATATTGTCCTGCCTTGCGAGGTTGGGAAAGTTTTCCAGAATAAGATCCTGAAGCGTATTTTCCAGCTTAGATTGATTCTCTTCGTCACTTTCAGGTACACCTATCAAACGTAGATTAGGTCTTTTCACATAGTCCCATATTTCTTGGAGACTTTGCTTGTTCCTTTTTATCCTTTTTTCTCTAATCTTGTCCTCTCGTTTTATTTCATTAAGATGGTCATCGACCTCTGATATCCTTTCTTCTGCTTGATCAATTCGGCTGTTAAAACTTGTGCATACTTTGCGAAGTTCTCGCGTTGTGTTTTTCAGCTCCATTAATTCACTTATATTCCTCTCTAAATTGTGTATTCTTGTTAACATTTCGTCAAACCTTTTTTCAAAGTTCTTAGTTTCTTTGCATTGGGTTAGAACAAGTTCTTTTAATTCCCAGAAGTTTCTTAATCATCCACCTTTTGA